GAAAGTTGCCTGTTCAGGTGACAGTAGATGCTGTCTATAATTCATTTCAACCAACAGTGGCTTCTATTCACGTTAGATATCGCATGCCTACCCAATGGACCTGCTCTGGAGACAAAATGAAGCGCTTATAAGTCAGGTAAAGTAAATATATCTGAAATAACAGAACAGGTTGCAAGGAAGACACTAAACCTTAGCCAACTCTTTGATATTTATTAACGAGTGAGCAAAACACAGGGCAGGAAACGGGGCTGCTCAATGAAGCTTGAGACCGAATTTCCAAAATCAAGGCTATTATGGGTAAAGTTTAAAGTATAGAACATAACACAGGGGAATATAACAAATAAGTTTCGTGATAGAGTAAAAGCAAACTTTAAAAGATTCCTGGTAGAATGGCTTTGAAACAATAAAATTCATAGACAAAAGGAGACCAAGAGACAAAAAACAAAGTAGGAAATCTTGAAACATACCCTGTTGTTGAGGTATCGCGAAGTTTTAAGCGCCTTTAACTTGCAGGCGATCACGAATGTGAAGATGAAGAGAATGCAGGAAAAGAAAAATACGTCAGGCACAAAGAAGGGGCGACAGTCTGGACCCTCCCAAGATCCATATAACTCTTCGCACAAGTCACGATATTTTAATGAATCCCACGAGTAACGGCCTCTCGAGATGTAATCCCAGTCGACCGCTTGCTTCAGAAATTTGAAATCAGTTAGTATCACATTCCGTATAGGTATGAGTATGTATAGCAGCAAATAGTAGACCAAAATAAGACGTTGAGAGAAGGGAATAGATTAGTACATAGAAGGCGGAATACAAAACTAATATATGCGTTTATACTTAAAGAATAAATCAACAAACCTCAATGGTATCGTTGAGTTGATTGACCAACATGTCAAAAGCACCATTTGAACCATCGGTAACCAAGGACGTTAGTTGATATGATTCCGTCGTAAAATTACCAAGAGGGCCATCTATAGTTCCGATGGCATTGAACATGGATGTGTTTGGAAATTTATTGACGAGAGGTATATCAGCCAGTGGGTCAGCGTCTAAAATAATCCGAATAACGTCAGTGTCGGTGAAATTCATGTTGGGTATGCAAGAACAGTTCATGTTGTCTCTCATACTTGGATGCCAACCGCTTCAGAGAATAATTGGAAAACGAAAGAAATCATACTTAATATAAAGTTGGAAAATAGAGACAAATAGCGTAATGATAATACTTAAGTAGGGAGTAGGGAAGAACAGGATAAAGTTAATAATAATGAGCCAAAATATCATATTTTAAAGTGTGAACAAGCAACACGTTTTATTAGCACAACTTGGATTCGCATAATATAATTTTAACAGCATTCGCTACTGGGAGTATGATGTAGATTAATCTATAGATGATTCCAAGTATGCCTCATGAAGGTACCTGGTAATTAGTCATGCTGGGTGGTTTGCAACAACGCTTTTTGAGGATCTTCTACTACCCGCCAAATAAGCTTAGCTGTAGATAACACAAGAAAATCTTATATGCAACACCATATATGTTTGCTTTGTCTTAAAAAGAAAAAAATCCCCTACATACATACATGCATATATATATATATATAATGGAAAAGTTCCAAACTAGTAACACTAAATCGACAAGGGATGAAAAAGTGTAAACAT